GTGCTGGTGCTGGTGATGGTGATGGTGATGGTGATGGTGATGGTGGTGATGATGATGATTGATGATGATGATGATGATGATGATGATGATGATGACGATGATGGCGGCGATGATGAAAACTGATAGTGCAGATGACGTTTATGATGCGGATGATGGTGCTGGTGGTGCTGTGACCACGTCGATCGAGGACATGACCGGCGATGTCGACAATACTGGCGATGATCATTGCTGCTGTAAGGCTTCATTGTACGATATAATACTATATTTTAGTGCATGACATTCAAATACTCTTGCTGTTGTAATATTTTCGTTTTGTGTGGTGCACATAGCAGCCGATTCCAGCACTGCATCGCCGAACGGCAGAGTCCTCTGCGTCTGCCACCAGCCGTGGCCGTAAAGCCTCCTTCACTGCGGTGGAAACTCAAGAATCTACGAGGGGCGCTGGGTGCATGGATAGACCCTGTGATCTCAATGTATGATGTTCCGCTCATTTTCGGATGCAAGTCCCAACCCTAAACCCTAAACCGTAAGGAAGGGCTACACTCCCTAAACCCCAAACCCTAAACCCTAAACCCTAAACCCTAAACCCCTAAACCCTGAAACCTAAACCCCGAATCCGGGACCCTAATCTCTGAAGCCTGAACCGCGGCCCAGTTGCAAGGCTCAACACTCCGTCATCCAAGGCTACATGGCGCGAATCGCCGCTTCGAGAGCACAACGTGATCCGACGACGAGATGCTGTTGGGGGTTATAAAGGTTTGGGGTTCAAGGTTTGGGGTTTAAGGTTTAGGATTTAAGGTTTGGGGGTTAAGGTTCGGGGTTTAGGGTTTCTGTGCTTGGCGTCAACCGTTTAAGGGTTTAGGGTTTAGGCTCAAAGGCTCTGTGTTGGAACTAAGGCTGCAGAGAGGGTTCGAGCACAAGCAGCAGCACCAAACACATCAGTAACCTCTCAGAGAAAGAAAGTACTCTTTAGGGTTTAGGGTTTAGGGTTTAGGGGTGTAGGGGTTTAGGGTTTAGGGGTTCAGGGTTTAGGGTTTAGGGTTGAGGGGCTTCTTGATTCGAAGGTCTTTGCCTGCCCTAAACCCCAAGCCCTAAGCCCGAAAGAGGTCGCAGTTCACTCGAACCTATCGACATGCGTAGCCTGGACTCTTGAGCACGAATGTTCCATGGCATTCAGGGTTTAGGGTTTAGTGGCGTATCAGTGAAACTGAAGGGACAGCTTTTCACAGCTTCAGGGCAGAAGTGAGCAGCATTGGCCCACTTGTGACATGGATAAAGTAACAGTTAGCATCGCTGACAACCTAAACCTCTTCAGACGATGCTTGAGCATCGTCTTCCTACGACTGCAACTAAGATGATGCTTCAGCATCATCCTCCTACAACTACAAGGAACCCAAACACTCCACTTTTTAAGGCCCTCACTTCAAGGCTATCCTAGCTGTACCACGAAGGAGATGCCCGCCAGTCTGTCGGGAAGCACCCATTTCCAGCCGCTACATCTTCACGGTCATTACATTCTTGGAGAAACTCTGAGTTCTAAGGGTTTAGGGTTTAGGGTTTAGGACTTCTCAGGGTTTTGGGGTTTAGGGCTTAGGAATGCTAAGCCCCGATCCCCGAAAACCCTAAACCCTAAACCCTAAACCCTAAACCCTGAACCCTAAACCCTAAACCCTAAACCCCAAACCCTAAACGCTAAACCCTGAACCTCCAACCCCGCCCGCTCCGCCGACTCCGCCCTTTTACGCGGCGAGGGCTGGCGCCGGTCTGCGAGGCCAGGAGCTCCTCACGAAGACTCTGGGGGTTTAGGGTTTAGGGTTTTAAGGATTTTTTTAAAGTGTAGTAGGTTTTAGGGTTTAGGGTTTAGGGTTTAAGGTTTAAGGTTTAGGGTTTAGGGATTGGGGTTTAGGGTTTAGGGCTTTGAGTTTAGGGGGTTCAGGGGTTTAGGGGTTCAGGGGTTTAGGGGGTTAGGGGTGTAGGGGTTTAGGAGTTTAGGGGTTTAGGGGTTTCGGGTTTAGTGGTTTTGGGATTGGGTTTGGGGAAGCTTTTTCATGGACTGAAAGGAAGGACTTGGGGGTTTGAGTCGAGGGCTTCATTGAAGCGGATTGCTGGGAGGAAGGGGAGCTGATGCCACGGTAGTGAACAACGCAACAAAAGCGTATTGTAGGGGCCTAAATAATTACCGATACCACTTTAAGGGTTCCTTACTGTAATTACACTGTAATGGGCCCCAAAACCCTATTCTAATTACTAAACCCTAAACCCTAAACCCTAAACCCTAAACCCTAAGGCCCCCTTTTTTCGCTTGCCCTCCTCCGACTCTGTTTCTTATCCTTCTCTTCGGTTGTGCGCTTTGTTTTGCGTTTCCTCTCTTCGCTCCGAGTCGGTAATGTAGGGGGCTTAATAATTAAAGTTTAGGGTTTAGGGTTTAGGGTTTAGGGTTTAGGGTTTAGGGTTTAGGGTTTAGGGTTTAGGGTTTAGGGTTTAGGGTTTAATAATTAGAATAGGGTTTTGGGTTATATTATACTACAATTATAGCAAATTGTTCTTCATACGCTGAGGGAGTCCACGTTGCGATGGGCAGCTTGACGGTTTAGGGTTTAGGGCCTCTCTCAGCAACAAAAGGTGCATTCCAGCTTGCTTTCAGTGGCACTTCCCGTCCCGCGGGACCCTTGAGCAGAAGTGCCACGCAATGGCGAGTGGTGGAGTTAGGGATAGAGATGTAGATGATGGTGGGTGAGAGTGATATGATGATGGAGTTTGTGATTCTGATGGGGCCATGTAGGTCTCTTCTTCCGTCGGAAGCCCCATCTCCCAGGGGCTTCAGTTTGGCCCCCGGTTTTGCTAATACCGGACATCCCTTCATCCTAACATCCGATTGCCCTGCTGGAGCCTGTGCGGGCCAGTTTTGGTTTGCGTGTTGTGTGAGCATTGTTTGGTGGACGTGCTGGTTTCGTTTCTATACTTGTGACTACCTGTCTTCTTTGTTTCTGTGTCAGTTGGTCTTTCATTTGGTGCGTGTGTGCGTGTTCTGCGCTCTAGCTTCTGTGAACCCCCAACCCGCCTTGTTTATGACAGGCACGGGGTTTGCGTACAGCAATTTACAATCGGGCTTCCCTCAAGTCCATGAGCTCAAGCTTGGCGTGAGGATGGGGGGGGAGGGGGGAGGGAAGCAGACGTCGGAAGCGGACGTCGGAAGCATCAGACTAAAGAATTGTTGCCGAAGTGTCGGGTTTCCGGCCCATAGGCTCACTACAGGACACCTGACGCATCTGTATCGAGAGATTCCAAGTCCATCATCCATCCATCCATCCATCCATCCATCCATCCATCCATCCATCCATCCATCCATCTAGGAGCTCGCGCTTTCCACCGCAAAAGAATAAATCATAATGTTTCTTCGGATGTCTTCTAGTCTTATTGCACAACTAATACAGGGATTTAAGAGAATGTTAGTACAATTCGCCTCCTATCTGTCTCTTGCTTCACTTCATTCCTTCTCGCTTTTGAGCTGGATTGTCGTGGCAGTCTCGGCCTTTTTCACAGGACCCTGTAGCCATTGTAGCCTCATTTGCTTCCCAGGCCCCATGATGTTCTCCATGCCTAGCACTTGTCATTCAGCTTTGCTCTGGCTGTTTAGGGTTTAGGGTTTAGGGTTGAGAACCGATGTCTTTGGACTGGCTTGGCCTCCAGGTTTCTCCCATCAAATACCTCTAAACTAGGGTTTAGGGTTTAGGGTTTAGGGTTTAGGGTTTAGGGTTTAGGGTTTAGGGTTTAGGACTCTAAACCCCGAAACCTAAACCCCTAAACCCTAAACCCTAGGCCCGTCCAGTTCTTTTATCGCTCGCATGTTGACGCATTACTCGAGCCTGGCTGCTGCACCTAGGATTTTGAGTTTAGAGTTTAGGGTTCAGAGTTTAGGGTTTAGGG